AAACCTTGGTATATCTAAACTTCCTAGCAACTCCCAAGTAAAACATGGTGTTTCGCATAGTTGTCAAGGTGACGCCTAAGCGACAAGGCACCCTTTGAGTCTCGCCTCACCTAATCGCCAAACAGTTTTGTATTATGTATTATAAAATACTTTTTTATTCTTTATTTTTTGACATTATAATTATAAAATAGGCACTATTAAACTAAAGTATTCATTTTGTGTTTATATACTAATTTCATTTTATTATTTTCTTATTTGTTAGGGTTTAATCAATATAAATGCTCCTAAATGTTGTATTGAACCCCCAAAGACTTTAAAACCTGAACCAATAAGGAAGAACTTAAAATTTTGTCTAATCAATACATTTTCTTTTCTTCTTTTCCTATAACAAAAATAAGGGTTCAGCCCCTATATTTTTTGAGTTTTCTTTTCCTTCTTCTTTTTCTTCTCATGAATATGTTGATTTTCTATACTTTAGCATGAACTCTATACTTTTCTTATGAAACATATAAATAATTCTTAAGGAAATATGGTTATGGTACCTAGGGAACTACCCTAGGATCTATATTTTCTACATAAAAAAACCCATCGCCTAGGCGACGCCTAGGCGACTAGGCGACAAGGCGCCCCCCTGTCACCTAGCCTCGTCTTGGTGCCTTGAAAACTATGGTGTTTTGTTGTTTTAAGTATAAACACATCATTTGGAGGGTGTTTGGTTCTGTGGGTGTTTATTCAATAAATGCTGCCACATAGGCGCCACTTCAACAGTTCCTCTGTCATGCTCTTCTGTATGCATCCAGAATGACAAAAGTGGACTTTGGTTTCTGTGCATGCCTACCATTTGGGGAAGTTACTTTTTAAAGCTTCCACAAACATTTAGGCATTTTTTCACTGTTACGCTGATGTGGTGCCTAGTGGCGCCTAGTTGTCATAAACGATTGTAATTATTACTTTTCTCGGTTTTGTAAACAAATAAAATACAAACATTGAATGAAAAAACGTAAACGGAACCAAACACATACTTGTTTTGAATTTGTTGGTATGTGTGTACTTTATTGTGGGAATGCATAAAGTACTGCAGTGGTGGCTGCAGCAGATGTGTTCTCAAATATTTTAAGGTTGTATTTGGTATCATTGCTGCTTCTACTAGAAATATTTGGGGTTTATCAATATACCTTTTTTTTATAAAATAGGCTATTATTTACATAAAAGAATTCCATTTTTAGTATTAAATGCAGGTACGATTGCCACTTTTTCATGATCAAATTTGATGTTTTTATTATAAATGCCAATACCAATTCAATACATACATTTTTTTTGTTGGAATAGTTATTTGATGTAATATAACAAGATAATTTCTCAAAAATTTATATTGATTAAATGGCAAATGTTTCTGGTAGAAACAACAATAATACCAAACACTGCTCTAGAGTTGTTGGAATTTATTGCTTGCAATGCTGTGTAACAAGCTATGTAACCAATCAGGAGAGGAGAATAAGCCAGTGATTAGATACATAACCCGTTAGCAGCAGATCGAGATCCACTCTAGAGCCTAAGAGAATCTCTTTTTAATTCTTATTTCGACTCTGTATCGGGGGTTATTTTCTGTTTTATGTATAGCGTGCAGTCTTTCTCCGTAACAAATTTGCCCTGGAATTCCATTTGCCATTTTGGTCTTTGATTTCAAATTTTGAAAATCAAGTGTTGTGGGAAGTTGATTTTGGAAGTTAGAAAAAGAAGCTTCTAAAATCAAAAAATAAATTAGCACCTTAATGGCTTAATTGTGTTACCTGTTGCTGACAATTCATTCCTAAAAAATGAAAACAGTAGCAAAGAAGAGCAAATCTGTATTGTTTTCAAATTGTGATGTAAAAATAGTGCATTAATTAAGGGGGGTGCCCTACGACAAGAATGTTTTTGCACTCATTTGTTTTTAAAATTGCCACATCGGCAAAAGGTTGAAATATGTTTTCGAACAATTTAATTACATTATTTTTACATTTTTCTAGAGGCTCAATTTGGAAAGAGTATAAATGTTTTTAGACAGCTTTTGAGCCTAACAAGTAGAAATGTTTTTAATACTCGCACCAAACTACCAATCAAGGGAACATAAAGAGAGAGAGAGAGGAGTTAAAATCACCTGCCAACAAAATAAGTTCCAACACCTTATCAATACAATCTGACACTGCACATATCATATATGGCGGGTCCTAGTCTCATGGTAAGATGTGCGGTGTCAGTGTGTTTGGTAAGGGGTTGGAATGTGCTTTGTTGACAGGAGATCCCAATGAGAGAGATGCAAGTAAAAATGTTGTTAATACTGGTATTAATCACGGCCCACAGATTGCTAAAGAGGCAAATTTGAGTCTCAATTACATGTCATCATCATCATCATCTTCTTCTTCTTTGTTTGTCATAACTCTTATCCTTTTTTCAATGACCAAAGTTTTTAGACTGAAGACAACGGCATACTTACGTGCATTAGTTCCTTGTCCATTTCTCATTAATAAAACAATATTAAAACAACTAGCTTTTAACAAAGAAGCATGGTTAGTCCGTCAAATTCGTTCCGAGAAAACGAATAGAAGTTTCTGTCTATGAAAACATGAAGGATCTTGAGCTGTAAACTCTCTGAACCCTAAAAAAGATTTAATCTCAGGTTTCTACTACAATATTAGACTTGTTCCAGGCTTCCAGCCTTTCTAACCCCCCCCCCCCCCTTTCTATCTATCTGGACCACATCAGATGCGTCACACCTAAAAAAATTGGAAAAGATTAAATTTACTATCACCCATTGCCCATCTCAGTTCGTGAATTTATTTTGGAATTCTGGCAGCTGCTCTGCACCGACCAGTGTGTATCATTTTGATTGTGCTGATCTTTTGTACAATATGGGGACAAATAAGAGATCAGCTTCAGTGTTCACAAGACCGTGCAAGAGACTGTGTGAACCGTTTGATGGTCAATGATGGATCCTGATCCTTTAAATTCTAGACACGTGACATACAAGGAAAACACTTCATGCAAAGGACCAGCAGTGTAGCACTCCTTAATCCTTATGAGTAATTCATGTCCAGTTGTCCACAAAGATGGGTGGATCAAATCATATATATATATATATATATATATAGACAGGCATTGTCTGGGCCCGTCTTGGTTTATTGATGGGTTGCTTATTCTCGAATGTGAAGTCTGAGGCCCGCATATAGATGGGTGGATCAAATCATATATATATATATACAGACATTGTCTGGGCCCGCCTTGGTTTCTTGATGGGTTTCTTATTCTCGAGTGTGAAGTCTGAGGCCCGCATATCCCTCTCACTTGGCAAGAAATGAGGCCATGTTTGGTTCACGGGAATAGGGGTCTGAAATTGGAATTGGAATGGAGGTTGAGAAGAATCGGAATCCCATTCCCATGACTTCAGAGGATTTCGATTCCAATACCAATTTCGACTGTGAACCAAACGAACCTGAAATTTGTTTTGTTTCGCTTCACCCCCATAAAAATTTCCACAGTGGAGACTGGAGATCCCTCAGGCACTCAAACATGACCAGCAGGCAGGAGAGTCGCATATCAGATACATTGTCTAGACAATAAGCTTAAGTTGCAACCAATGTGAATCGTTTAGTGTTCGAGGTGAATGCGATGAATGCATTCATTTCTAGCAAATCATTGAAATGGTAGCTCCGAACTTTTCTAACATCTCATCTACAAGTGAGTCTTAGGAGACGGGATGTCAACAGTAGAGAGGCTTACACAGACTTGGGGGTGCTCACGGTTCGGTATATTTGAAACCGAACCATTCCCTTCGGTTTTTTAAATGTTCTGAATTGAAATTGATCCAAATAAATTGGTTAAACAAATGACCGATTAGGTTTTATATATATAACACATGTACAACCATTTCTATACATGAAACTTTGTCAAAATTGGCACCGCCATACATAATTGTAAAGGAGTTTCAATGCATAATTTTCATTCAGCTTCTTCGTATTGAGATACAAGCTTTCCAATCAGATAATGCAAAAGAGTATTTCCATCATGATTTGATTGAATTTTTTGCTCCACATAGGTCTCTTCACCAAAGCTCTTGTACCGAAACATTGCAACAAAATAGTATTACAAAAAACAAAAAAAGATCCTTCATTTTCAATGTTCCCAAGCGATTCTAGGTTGATGTTGTTGTATTGGCTGTTGTTAGCCCCACATCAGCTTTTATTTCTTCAATCTCCCCTGTTTCCTATTCCCTTGCGTATGTTTGGCTATCAGTGTTTTGTTCATGACTTGTCTCCCAATCAAGGTAAGTTAGATCGCAAGCTATCCGTGTGTCCTGAGTTATCCATCCTCCGAAAAGGGCTATAAATGCTTTAATCTTACCTCCTACAAGCATTTTGTATCTGTAGATATGTCCTTTTTTGGGGTCTGAACCCTTCTTCCCCTCTCCTCGTGAGGAAAATAGCATGGAGGCGAAGCGGGTCCAACAGGTCAATTTTCCTCCTATCCAAAACCGTGCTCTTTTTCGTGTGTTTTTTAGGCATTGTAAGGAACAACAAGGACCAATTGAATTCAAAGGGTGTGGAGCAGCCCGAAACTATGCATCCAGCGTTGTCAGACTCTCTGGAGGCAAATCCCTTCCTGCCAAGTACTCCTGTTTCTCTTGATATTATTGAGCATACTGCTATTGATGACTATTTTTTACCTTGAACTCTAATTTGTACATAGAAAGAGTGTCAGGTCATGTATTACTAAGATACAAGGCCATATTATTTGCAAAAAGATGCACACAATATGGGGTTGATTATGTAGAAACCTTTGTCCCAGTTGCTAAAATGAACACTAATTGGACCATGTTATCTTTGGTTGTTAGTTTTAACTAGGAGCTCCATCAGTTGGAAGGGAAAGTATGCAAGTTAAATAAAATCCCTATAAAGCAACCCCCACCCACAATCATAGTAGCATTGATTGCTATATCCTAAAATGTACAAGCATAGACAGTAAAGCAACTAAGTAACTAAGTTCATCCATTACATAAGAGCAAAGACAAATTGTGGTCAGAAAATGTAAAAATTGGCTTACAAAGTGTGTTCCAAGTGGAGCCCAACATAAAACAAAGCAGCCCAAATGTTAGCTTTAAGACACTAGTTGCAAGAAAAAATAAACATAAATAAACAATTAAGAATAGAAAATAATCAGTTCTCAAATTTTGGATGTTGAAAATGCAGTCACAACTCACGGTTGCTTACATCAATTGGCATGGCAATTTTTTCAAGCACGGTAGTGGCATCCTCAAGAGCTGGGTTGTAAGGTGCAGCAGTGGTATATGGTGGTAAGATTGATATGCTTATCCACTAAAAGAAAATTCCCATCTCCTTTGACTATTAGGCATACCTCGACAAATAACCAAAGGATGATAGTTTCTTCTCAACAAAAGCTTCAGCCACATGGAGCATCTCACATGCTTTTCAACAAATACAGGTAAAGGGATTATTAGTTATTCACATAACCTAATCCATTTTCAAATCATTGGAAGCAATGACTTAGCTTTCAAAACACATATATGCTGCCACTGTATAATGAACCCAATCCACCTTTCCATAATAAGGTGAAATATTTACTAAACGTTTTGCCTATCCATTTCCATTGAACACATAAAAGAAAGGGAAACTAAGAAGGCTGAGTTATTTGGCAGAAGTGTATGGGAGCGTTCTGCTCAACTCAATGTGCTAATGTTGACCCAGAACAGGTTGAGTTGTTTTGTGAACTCAATTCCAGCAAAATTGTGTTCTAATGACAATATTTGATTTTCAATTGCAAAGAATATATCCAAAAACGGCAGAGGTGAAAAGTATATGTAACAACATACCAACAATGATTACAGATACAGTCTCATCCCCTACTTCATCTTGTGTGCGGATTAGTTCTATCATGGACTGCCATTTCAGATAGGCATACATTGTAAAGGAAAAAGACATGGATACCTTTGCAGCTATGTGAGCAAGGTCCAGTTCACACAATACATCATTTCCATCATTTGTGACCACAATGCCTGGTAACAAACATAAAGATCACCTATCCATACTATAGGGCTAAGGTAAAGAACATACCATTTTGTCCCAATTCCCTATACAATCAGACCATTCAGAAGAACCAATGAGCCTTGTATGACTGTTCAAAAAGAAAGACCCATACTTGTGAGTAGTCATCACATTTTGCTTAACTGTCTATAAACAAAACAAGCTATGGCACTTTCCTTGGCTTGATGAGAATATAGTGCTATTAAAGCATCTACTAGTCATCAACTGATCAACTGACTAGCAGTGTTCATTGATCCTCCTAAACAGTAATGTGTCTGTATTGGACAGACAACATATTTTGCAGTTATATATGTTAGAATTCCACAATGGTGCATTATCTTCTTGAAATTAGAGAACTTACATCTTCTCTTGGCTGCATCTTCAGATGGTTCCCTAGAAAATTCAATCAAAAAGCTAATCTGGTAGCTAAATCAGGCACAGAGAGGAGTGTTTTATATAGTTCAAATAGTTTCCCACAGATTTGATTGGTCTTTTTGTTTTTGTTCTTAAGCCCCTCCTTTTGTACATCCTCTGATGTACTCTCTTCCTTTTTTTTCCTTAATGAAATAGTTACCTTTCTCAACAAAAAGAAAAAAAAAAGTTAGCCTAGTTGTCCTATCAACCACAAAGCTATTTTAAAGTTTTATTTATGTGTCATTATCTATAATTTGTTAAAAACAATATCATATGCTTTTATTTTGTTATATGGACTTTTTTATTCATAATGGTAAATCTTTACTAATTATAAAAGATAGTATGATATATGCAACAGATTGTGCCAGGTACCCCAATGGAAGGCTTAGACTTTGCTAGCCTCCTCCAAACAAAGAAGTTATATGCACACTAATTGCCACAAAGAGACCAGTGGCGTGCTGGTCTTTCTTTGAAGAACAAAGATTGTCAATCCCTATCTTAACTTATCCAACCTTCCCTTTTATGCTTGCAAAAGACTGTAAACTAAATGTTTTGATCATTATTCTATTACTGATTTGTAGTTTGTATCAACACTTATATGTGATATTGAATCAATATCTCAAGTTTAGAGCATGTACTTTTCATGGTCAACTAGTCAACATCTAGCACTGAACAGCTACCACATTGCCTAGGGAGACCAGAATGTATCACTTTGACAACACTGGAATAGAGTGGGTGACCCTGATTATTGACGCAACAATAATCCTGCAACTCTGTACATCACCTCTACTCTTATATACAGGCAGCATGGTGCTCTTTTCCTTTGTTTTGGTTACTTTATTAAACAACTTAGTAAGATAAATTTCCATTAGATTTTAACAGTTTATACTCTTGCAAAAGTATATTAGAAAAACAGCATACCCATTGCTGATCAATAAATAAATAAATAAAAGAACAGCATGCCCATCTAACAAGGTTTCATCTGTTAATTAGACAAATAAAATGATATATTTGGAATACTCATCTACACAAATTCATTATTTAGCCAAAAAAGATGTGCAATATTGCCAAGCAGAAATAATGTCTACACCATTAATACCAACTTCAAACAACAGAACAATGACAACAAAATAGATATGCATGAACTTGAAAATGTTTGCAGTACAATAACAAACTGTTCAAGGACTTAGAGCAGAATAAAGGTACAGGATTCCTACATCTGGTCCCACTTAGGTAAGGATGCTATGGTGCTCCTATTTTCCTATGTAGAGAATGATGTCACTGAAAAGTCTGAGAATACTCAAAATTCAATGATATCAGGAAGCAAAACAAAATGAATATATAAATGAATATAAAGCTTAGGGAAATTGAATTGATCTGTATGCACCAATATGAGAACAAAACTTCACCTTTGATGCTTGAATATTTGCATGGTGCAATTTACTTCCTGGATCACACTTCAAAAGAGTCCTCTGCCCATTCAGAAAATCAGCCTAATATTTGGATAAAAGATTATGAAAATTGAACCAAAATAAACTGTGTTCATTCTGAAAAAAAAAACTCAGATTTCAAGTTCAATAAATAAATTACTAAAAGGAAAAATCTCAGTTGCAACAGATATACTACAATCTCCAATAGACTCTAGGAAGTTCTGCCACATACAAGAATAAAACAGAAACATCTGATGCAACAAAACATGCAAAGAACATGGTTGACAAGAAAACTTGATGTTGCTGCTGTAACAATAAATGAACTTAACCAAAAAAGGAACAAGAAAGATAACCTTCTTTTAAGGACAGAGAAAATTTTCCCTTACCAGATCAAAGAAATTTGATTAATAAATAAGCAAGGAGAAGAGATACAAGAGATGCAAGTTTAACTGGGCTAAAACCAACCTGCTACACCCAACAATCAGCATGAGCCATGGATAAAATGGCAGTCCCCTCTAGCCTATACCCCCCACCTCCCAGCTGGTCCCCGATGTAATTCATCCCTATTAGCTCCCATAGCTAGTGAGTGTGCTAGGGAGTTAGCAAATGTTCAGACCTATCTAAGTTAGGTGCTCCTGCTAGATGCCAAGGGCCACCACCCTCCTAATAAAGTGAAGTATCAACCAATGGATTCAATCATAACCCTTCATCCACCTAATTATAAGTTGAGATTCCCTTTCAATCTACCATATCCCAATGAAACAGCCAATCTCAGCCCTTGTAGCAAGTATACTATCTCTATGTAAATTCCCTTGCCAGTAAGTCCTGAATTAACAACCAAAACTTTACCTTCATTGTTCCAGAATTAAGAAATACTCCCAGGAATTCACTAGCAGAGAATTTCTTCACAAATCCAGCCCGATCACTAATTAGTAATTTCGAATAGACTGATGAGAAGCAACTACTTGAACTTACTCAGGACCCAGAACAAGCACGGGAGAGTGCATGGTTGATCCTCCTTCTTAAGAGTATGTCGTAGTGTAAATCAGAAGTTCTGCAATGGAAAACTTACTAAGAAGATGGAAAGAGAAGTAGATGGGATCGTTAGAATAGACAAACCACAACGACTGCAACTGGCGAATGGAAACAGAACTGTCAGAGGGTTTTGAAGTTTGGAAATGGAACCTGGATTTGTCGCCGACGTTCGTGCGATTGCTCGCGTTGTTTGGTGGAGCGGCGACTGGCAAAGCTGCCAGAGGAGACGATTCGGTTCGGGAAGCGGGGAAAACAAAACGATCATCTGAAATGCGACGGTTTTCCTTTTACTCTTCGAAAAAAAAAAATGCCGGTTTTGCGAGTGTGGATCATCTGCTAACAAAATACGCTCCAACACGGTACCAACATTGTCTAACACCGCAAATTTCACGCATGTCAGATCAAAATTGATAGTGTGTTGCAACTTGGAAGTTGGAACGTGTTTCGCTGACAGGATATCCTAACTCCGGTTTTGCGACCCCCAGTTAATATCATGAATTTTATGAATCCGATTTCCTGCCCACGAGAACTCTGATCACGTATACTCATAACATACTTCCCCCGTGATTTGAGAATATCTGACTCTGTATAATATTATACAGATGTGGCTGCGATAAATATAGGCAGAGTGTGTAGATAGGAGATCCGAATTTGAATTGTATACTATATAGAATCTGCAACAAAGACCTGATTTGCTCCTCACTTATGGCGACTCACACCAACCTGATAACATTTCCTTTAAAAACGGTGGGATGTGCCAGTGAAATCGTTGTGAGGGCAAATCCCTTGAGCCAGCCTGATATTATACCTATGCTTTCTGTTTTTCGATTGGTCCAGACTCCAGACCAATCCTCATCCAAGCTTAGCCTATTAGGTGCCCGTTTGGGAGGGTTTTCGGACACTTCTTTTGGCACTTTGAATTGAGCTTCACACAGATTTAATATAAGTCGTTTGGTGAAAATCCAGACACATAAGAAAAAATGGAGGAGCAGTCCGCAAAATTCTGACATTATAATCCCCTATATCTATTAATAATCCCTTATAGACCCCATCCTATTCATGATTTAATTATTATTATAATATATTTTTAATGACAGCTGTATAGCATCAAGGAAGTCAGCTTCTTCGATGTATATCACATCACCTTGTCAATTCAAGGAACTTTAATTTAATATTTTACATTTCCAAAAACCTCTTATCTCCCAAATCCCTAAATTAATCATTGCAAAAATATATTTTCAAGGTACAAGCTATCAAAATGCAGTTTTTTACTGATTCCATTTTTTCGCACTGAATTCACATCAGCTGAGTCGAATCTCTAGTGAAACTCCTCGATCCCAAGCCCCCTCCAAGTCTCACCTTCGAGAAAATTCACCGGGACTGGGGGGTAAAAAGAGGGCCGCCCCATTCATGGCTAGCCCATTTGCCTACCAGAAAACAAAAAACATGACAAAACTATTTTATATGAAACAACTTATTTCACTCGCATCTAATTGGATGTGACTCCCTACACCCTCTCCATCTGCCTTCTTTTTGTGTCTTCGTGTGTGTGCCACGCCTTTTTTTTATCTATAGTTCTAAATAAGTGTCTAATCCAATCCGATAAATATTTTGGACCCATTTCGATCAGTCAATCAGTCAAATTCAATGCTTAGACTGTCCAATTTGTTGGTTTAATTTAGATTAGCTTCAACTCAAACCAAATCCATTAACACCTTTTTTCTTATATTTTAACAATGGACAGACCGGATATTGGTTCGATCATATTTGACCCAATCTAATGTAAATCCACAATGGATGGACTAAGTCCAATTCAGTCAAATGAATACTTTAGAACATTAAGTATGTACTAGTCCTATTCAACATGGTTCTAAAAACCAGACCAGATGAGAAGGTTGGATTGGTTGACTTAGAAACAGTCAGATAATTGGTTCCGTTTCATCCTAAAGTTGCCTTTTGGCCAAAAAAAATGTTGATTTGATCAGTGACCCACTGAATCAGGCAATCAAATTGTTGACTCGTCAAGCTAGACAACATTTAGCCATTATTTATTTATTTTTATATTTTAAGTCAGAACATATCATGTGTCCGAACCTATTCATCCTAGGAATTGGTCCGAGAATAGTTTTATATTGGGTCCGATTTTTAAAACCTTACCATTCAATATATCTTATTGGTCCGTCCAACTCATCCAAATTGATTTTGATTTGGATGGGGTCGGTAAATTGACACCCCTTAATTATACGGTGGGTAGAGTATCCCATCCCCCCAACCTGTAATGCTTACTACAAGCCTTAAAACGATAGGATCCAATCTTGATGAGGGCGGATATGGACCTCTAGTGATATCATGACACATGGCATCTTGGAACAAGTAAATGACACTCATACACCACCTATGCAATGACTTGCCTTAGCCAATGTGATGGAGTCCGACTTGGCGACCTGCCTCTGCCACCGACTTAGTGACCTGCCTCTACCGACTTGGTGGAATCCCATCTGGCGACTTCGTACACAACTCGGGCACCTTGATAGGGCGGCTAGCAACACCTCGTCTACAGTCGACCTATGATACCTCGTCATCACTGATCCAAGGGACCCTGATGTGAGGAGCGACCTCCACGAGGACTTGCCGACCTGATTGAGGTCCAGGTGGTGACCTACGAGACGTGCTCACCGACCTCCTTTGTGTGCATCCCATCACTCTCGGGTTTCTCGGAAGTTGGCCCTCGCACCGAATGTTTTGAAGGAAACCGAACAAGGCGCGAAGACTGGTCAATGTGCATAGCTACCTCCGAGGACTTCGGACCGATTAGGCACGACCCCCTGAAGATCACGGACGCAATGTGTAAAGCCCATGCCGAACAACACCTATATATAGGCCTCACCTCTAACCTCAAAGGGGAAAGGTACGGTTTATTGCTCACAAGCTTACTAGCATATTAGCATTCAGCTCGCATAACTCAGTACTAACTTAAGCATCAGAGAGCCCATGCCCGGTAAAAACAATCCGGACACTCTAGCGTTGTTTCCTTGCAGGTCTCTCTAGAGAACTACATAGCCTGGCACCCGAATAGCCTCCTAATTCAGCCCAGTCAGTTCGACATCCAAGTTGTCTTCTAACAGGAAATCCTCTAGCTCAGCATCCGAGCCACCAGACAGCAGGGAGCTACCAAAATGTGCATCATCAATTGACGTCATCTATGGAAAATGCAACAAAAAGCTAAGTTTTCACCTTCTAATTTTCACCTTTATCAACTCAATGGCATTTTTGAACAGCACCAGCATCAACAATGAAGTATCAGTTACTGGGGGGCAAGAGCATTCCCGATGAACCCCGAAGTCCCCTCTATGACAATCAGGCAAGTTCAGTGCCCCTAGCAGCTCCTAGAGTAGCAATCATGTCGAACCCAACACTCCCATTACCCAGATAATTACACTGCTACCTCATACGAATGCCCCTCTCCCCACGGTAGAGCCATCAGCGGTTCCTGTCGGGATTGAAGCGCGGCAATTTTATGAGCTGAAGCATGAATCTCCATATGTGGGTGTGGGAGGAGAAGTTCGATGCATTCATGCTGCCGTAGAATAATCAATAGCAAAATGACATCAACAACCAGCAGTCCGGCAATAGGCACCTCGGAGTGAGGCCGCCCCTGCAGGTCGAGCCCTTCATGGTTTCCCACGGGAGTTGATGGCCAACAGATTGTGGAGCAGCCCTGTCGACCTCAACTCATTCTATATTCGTTCTCAACAATAGTTAGCCTAGACGAAACTTCACCAGATTTGTTTCACGAGGTTGCCTCTATAGGTCAAGCCCTTTGTGGCTCCCACGGGACTTGGTGGCCAACGAACTGTGGGAACGCCCTTGTGGGTCGAGCCTCTCAAAGCTCCCGTGCGAGTTGACAACCTACAATTAGTAGAGTTGCCCCCACAGGTTGTGTTCCCTATGGCTTATTGTAACAGTAGATGGCCATTGTCTCCAAGGGCTGATATAGTGTAGCTGTGGCATCAACCTACTGTCCAACGCCGACAACAACATACGTATCAACAAAACCCACAAATATGATAGAATATGAACAACAAGCCTGGGCGAGCTTCAAGCAATCTAACCTAGATTGTCTCCTAACCCGAATTGCGAAGCCTAACTATTGATCGAGCTCTGTATGGCTCCTATGAGAGTTGGAAGCAAATTGAATGTGGACTGGCCTCATAGGTCAAACCCTTCATGGTTCCCGTGAGAGTAGGCAACCCGCAGACAGCAGAGACACCCCCTCAATGTGAGCCCCCCATAGCTCTAGTAGGAGTAGGCAACCAACAGTTCTAGGAGCAGGTGCATTACATGTATGCCATGGTCTTGTAAGAACCCACCCAGGGAAGCCAATCCCACATGATGGCATAGAAGCAGCCACTAAAACGACCATCTGCTTTGGTGACATGGTCAAATCGAGTTCTAAGGGAAAGCCATATCGCTTTTTAGCTAAGGCGCCCTCAAGTCAACTTCGAAAATATGACGGCAACAAGTAAACCGATCTAAGCAGGTCGGCCCCCGATTCATCTAGCTCGGCAACACGCTTAAATAGATCTCAAAGGATGTCAGCATTTCAGGGCCGATCCTAAAAACGGGGGGAGAGAAAAAACAAAGAAAGGGAAGACTAGTTCTCTTTCAACACCATAGCAGACATGCAAACTTGGCCGATCTCTTCACAGCCGACCTCCACCTCGGTTTCAGGCTTCGCATCGACCTCATCGGCTACTCTTTCGAGAACCGGCTTGAGAGACATTATGTTGTAGTCTACTTAAGTGGAGCGACCTGGCGAGGCAATTATGCAGTTCAAAGCCCCTCTTGAATGGCATGGCGAAACCTCGCTCTTGAGGTATTGGGCCGAATTGCAAAACTCCTTGATGGTCACATCCCTAGTAAGGTAGATGTCTTTGGAGTGAATGCTTCGCCTCTCCTCGAGCGGATGAATTCACTCTTATGCACTGATAATCAAGAAATTGAGGTATTGTGTAAGGCTACATTCAACACTTGGACTCTTTCGACTTGAGGAGAAAACTAAACCAACATCTATGGTTACGAGTTCATCAAACTAGTCACTCCGCCAAAAGGAACAAGCTACTCCATTCGCTGAGCTAACCTCAACTCAAGAGTGGGGGGCAATTGATGAGGGCAGATTTGGCCCTCCAGTGATCATGACACATGGCATCTTGGAATAGTTGGATGACACTCAGACACCACCTATGCGGTGGCTTGCCTTAGCCAAAGCGATGGAGCTTGACCTGGCGACCTGCCTTCGCCTCCGACCTAGCGACCTGCCTCTATTGCCGACCTAGTGACCTGCCTCTACTAGGGCTGTTCATAAGAAGACCCAACCCGACCAACCCAGACTGATCCAACCCGAATCGGCCGGGTTTTCTTCAGCACCGGTCGGTTTCGGGTTGTAAAAAATCACAAACCGATGGTTTGGATCGGTTTCGATTTTCATATGTGAAAACCGAAACCAACCCGAACCGAACCCTTAGTAATTAGTAGTTAGTATCTACAACCTACTTAGATCCTCCTTAACTAAGTTGTCTCTATCCTAGTTACAACCTAACTTAATTTATAGTCTTCTAGTTATGAATGACATTAATGGCAAGTATTGTAAGACAACTAGACAAGGAATTTTTTTGGAAAAGTTTAAAGAAAAGAATCAAAGGATCCTAGTTTTTATGGTCTTTTACACCAAATAGGCAACCAATTACAATTAGAATTAAGTGTCATTTTTTACTTAGATTAGAAGGTTTCTTGAAATATACAAATTTCAGTCTTCTTTCTCTAATACAGTTTGACTTTCTATTTTCTTGATAACTTCTATTCTAACTTGGTCTGCTC